AAATTTGACACTGTCAGATCACAGATTAGCCGGTCTTTATCCTGCAAGCTCCCTCATACAAAACCTGTGACAGATTTCACTGTTGTACAATACGCTGGATGATTCACAGCTACCATATGTCATCCTGCGCACTTTTTCCACACTTTCACCACATGTATGAGTAATTCTAGTAATGTGACAAAGGACAAATGCAGCCTTATCCTGATATATTCATGTGTGAAAATGGTTTACGTTGCTGTTTCATTCCATTGTTTCCCATTCGTTTGTGTAATTGGGCAAAAATAACTGTACTAGCAACATAATCACATTGTTTATAGTATTTGACAGAATGTGTGGTTTTAAGCAAGATGGTTGACCTGAAATTCTGTCAAAATTGCATATATAAGGAAAAAAAACGAAACAATTTAAAGACACTGTTCGAGGTTTGAACAGTGTCCGTGGTTGCTCTGCTTCCACGTCTGCAATGTTGTTGTTTCGAATTGCTGTTTCTGTGGCTGTGATCAGATCCATCAGTGGGATTTGTCACAGTGCCACAGCAAAGTTCAACCGTTTTGCGAGGATGTTTTTCTCTGCTTGGGTGAGTTGTCTGTCAGACAAATTTTTCACCCACTTGTCCACATCAATTGTCATTGATCAATGGTCATTAATCCTTGGTTGTTGATCAATGGTCATGACAATTTGCATTTTAATGATCAAGAAACAGACCTCACGGCCCATTATTTGTCAGTGGTGCTAGTTTCAGTCATTGTGGAAATGCACTGTTTATATTACTGGGGAAACCTTCAGTCAGCAGTCTCAGATGTTTCTCCCACTACATCCAGATGATAAGAATCAACTTTTTGGGAATTATCTAAAAGATTAATGAATTTAATTTACTTTCAATAAATATGGGGCAAGTATGTTACATGAACCAGGCGACACACAGCAGCATTTTTAGGCTGAGGTAGTTTGGGATGCTGGTTTCTAGTGCCTTTAAAACACAATAAAATTAATAGTAATAATTCCACATGTTAATAACCCATACAGAGAATAACTGTTTAACCAAATAAAGATTTACATAGAGACCCCTTGAAATTTCCAATCAGTGCTCCAAATGTTACTGAACCCAGAACTGTGAAGAACCACAAAATCACTGAGCACTTGTGGAGCCCAATGTAAACACGTAAATATTAAATTTAACATGTTTAGCTTCTTAAGTACATTGCAAAAGTGCACACTTACAGTTATCATCATCATAACTTATAGTATCATTACATAATATCACAAGAATGTTCTAAATGTTTAAAAAAACATGACCATCATTTGCAAATTTTTGAAGCTGCAAAGATACACCTAGTATCTCTTTTAATGTTTGTACATATGTGCATTTTTTCCCAGGGTGCTCTGTACTGCCTTCTGGGTATGTACAGTGGTATTCCTATGGCCAGTGCGAGGGACTGGGAATGGGTTGGACAGGTGTGGCCCGCTCTGGTCCGCTGCGGCTTATCACCCACAATGAGCCTGGAAAAACCCTCAATCGGTCGTCTGCTTGATGACATCACTGACAGGATCCTTCGCCAGCATGACACCATCGGAATCAACTTCACTGTGAGCAAAGGGATCATTAACCATCAAAATGCTACCATCACCTGATACTTTTTGTAACCGTGTGCTGCTCCCCTTTGCCCACTTCTACCTCTAGGTGTCTGAGGGATGTGTAGAAGTAGCCTTTCAGATTGCACAATCGAAAAATCCCACACCTTGTTTAGAGGCACCATCCAAAGAGGAGATAAAAGAAGGGCTTCAGCGTCAGCGAATTAGAAATGTGGTTGCTGCACGGTAGGGATAACAAGTAGATTTCTCTTGTTCATTTAAAGTCTTTTTGATGTTTTTCCCATGATATCCCATGAAGATTCTATATTTTTGTCATACTGAACATGATACAGCCACCGCTGGCTGCTAGGCCAAAATGTGTATTCCCTAACAGGTTGGCAGTGGCTTGTGGAGGTTGCTGGGTGAAATGGTTTGGTTTGCTGGTGGGTTGCCACATTTACCTGTAGTTTTTTTTTTTGTTGTTTTTTTTTTTTGGGGGGGGGGGGGGGGGGGGGGAGTGTAAACTTTTCTGCAAATACTTGCCAACTACTTGAAAATATGTGAAGCAAACTGGAAATGCAGAAGGTTTGTGCCTCAGTGCCATAGCCAACATGTTTTGCAGCTTTTACTTTGAAGTTGAATTTTCTCCATTTCTGGTTTGAGCTGTACTTTTCACAGTTTCAATACAGCTCGGAGAGTACCACGACAGTGTTTGTAGACAACTGTCACTGTCACTTCTATTCAAACAGTAGCAATATCCTCATGACGAAAGGAGTCACAAGTAGGTTTTCCCACTTGTTAGGTAAAAAAGGCAACACACTTTTTTTTATCTAACAATCGATGGTTGTGAAGTTCTCATCAACTAGTCTGTGTGATTGGACTTTTTTCCCAGTGACTGGCATCAATCTCCAGCAACCACTTGCAGCCAGTCTGGGAATACTTTCCCCCTCTACACCAGTGGTTCCAGGCTCTAAGTCTGTGTGACTGGGGCCTAATGTAGTTGATCACTTGATTGATGTTGGCACCATGATTGTCACATTTTGAAAATGGCAGACAAGTTAACATTACGTGATTAGTGGTCATGTGTCTGCAAAACCTGAATATTCCTATAATATATTATTAGGTTTGTAATATGTCAAATTTTGGTAGTTTAGTAGCCGGGGGTGGTACTACTAACCAACACCTGTTTTTATTTTGTACAGGAAATATGAAAAGTTAGTCAATGACCTCTTGGACTGCCTTGAAGACAGAGACTTGTAGGTTTTCTGTCCAACTGTTTATGTGTTTTGAGATGTTAGAATACACTAAAGCTGTTTTCACACATAAACTTCCATTTCTGTTTACGCTACAGAGGTGCACAAAGAGTCAAATATCCAATACAGTCGGATTTGACATTGATCTGTCTTTAACCTGCCAACTCCCTAGTACAAAGTCTAAGTGATGTTGAATTCCGCTATAAAAAATACATTGAATGCCATGTGTGCTACCTCCTGCAAGCTTTATCGAGCCATCTCTCTTGCCTAAACCAAGGAAGTATTTCCAGTAGTTCAAACATGTTTGAAACTGACTATTTCCTTCTGTGTGCTACATGTGAAACCTGGAAAATATCCAAACCAAGTCTCCAGAAAACTGTCCAAAGTTTCTGTGTGAAAACAGCATGAGTAAGCTATATAGTACTGTATATTCTGCACTTTTGATTCTCACAAGCAACTCCAAAAGAACTGACCCATATTTGTTCCGTCAAAGGATCCACCTAATTAAAAAAACAAAATGTTATTCTTATAGCATCTTTAAAAACAAGTCATATTGTGCTTCAACAGACAAGCAAAAAGAATACAAGTTCATTTCAACCAGAAAGCCAAATAGTAAGCCCAAACAAAAGAAGATAACGTGAAAGTAGAGTTGAGATAAAGAAAGAAATAAAAAGAGATGCAGTATAAAACACAAATTGACATTATAAATAATAGATACTAATAAATAAAAGAAATAAAGACTAGAGGAGAAATCAAGACAACTGAACACATAAGAGGTTATAAGTGATGACAACACATAAAAGCAGTTGTACAAAAATGAGTTTTCAGAAGTGATTTAAAGGTAGTCACTGATTCTGTGAGTCTTGTCTCCTCAGGCAGGTCATCCAGAGTTGAGGGGACCTGCTGGTAAAAGCACGAGCACCTTTAGATTTAAGCTTTGAGTTTGGAGTAGCCCTAAGGGAACCACCTGAGGATCTAAAGCTGCAGACTGGCTTATACGGAGTCAACATTTCTGCTAGGTAGCTTGGGGCCAGGCCCAGACAAGCTTTAAAAGTGATTAGTAGAATCTTAAAATCAATTTGAGAATGTAGAGCCAATGGAAAGAAGCCAGGATGTGACTCTGTCTGCTTGTGCTGCTTGTAATGCTTGGCAGTAGAAAATAGAGCTGAGACATAGAACTGCATTTCTATTATTACCAACTCTTTCTTTTTTTATATATGCCTGTGATTCAGACCCTGGAAGTTTGAGCACATGGCCACAGAGTGGCTATCTCTCTTGTTGAGGGAGGATCACCCACTTCCCCCTGACGCTGTCCTCTACTTCACACAGAGCCTCGTGCATGATTCCATCAGCGTACGCAAGGTCTGAAGCTGTGTGTATGTGTATATCTGTATGAGCTTTGGTTCATGTGAAGTTTCCAGTACACTGTATGCTCCAGACAAGCCAGGGTCAGATAGCAGGGAATCCAAGCATTTTATAGTAAAGCTGAACTAGAATGAAAACCCAGATCATTATTAGAGTCATTATGGTTAAATTAATAGTAATTTTTAGCTCATATGACTGAAGAACCAGTGAGCTCCTACCATTGCGAGGCATATTAGGCAGATTTTAGTAAGCTTGGAAGTAAATTTATTTATATAGTGCCTTTCACAAATCACATAAAAACAAATTTACAATAAAATAAAATGAAATGCCACCTGATTGCTACTTTTAAAAAATTAACCTTAAGGTGTTTTTTGACATCTGCTCAGTTTATAGATGATAGAAAGGAAGTCAGTGTTCTAAAGAAGGGGGCTACAATTGCAAAGGCTCTGTCTCTTTTAGGTTTTAGTCTAGATTTTGGGATAGCAAGGATAACAAGGCGTGATCATAAGACCTGGAAGTCCTGCTGGTGATATATGGCTACAAAAGTTCAGTTATGTTGGAGGGCACTTCACAATGCAAGGTCCTAAAGGTGGAAAACTGAATTTTGAATTGAATTCTGAATCTAATGGGGAGCTGTGGGGTCAGCAGAGGTGTGTTGTGAGGGCACTTGAAGGATCTGTTGCAGCACTGTATTTGTGCAAGCTGTAGACCCAAGGAGGTTTTACTGGGGGAGATGAAGACTGAGTCGCAGTAGTTCAAACGAGATAAAACAAAAGTATCAATTAGATATACATTTAGATATAATAGGTTTACTGATATTTCTTAATTGATGAAAACAAAAATGAACCAGACCCTTAACCAGTTCTTTATCAGAACTCGCCCCTGCGTTGCTTATGTGTACTTTAACGTAGCTAGAGAGCAATCCTGGATTTCCAATAACCCGGGGAACCAGGCTGTCTGGGGCATAAATAATGATCTCTATATTTTTATTTTCATACAGATGGAGTAAATAATCTAACATTCATGATTTTTTTTAACAGTTCAAAGATTTTTTTAAGATAAATAACAATAAAAAAAAAAAAAACAGGTTTAAAAGTGATGTAAAGCTGAATATTACTGGCATAACATTGATAAGTGATGTGAGTAAATGATCACAAAAGCTGACATAAAGAGAGAAAATGGAATACAAGTGAAATAGGATCCAGAACAGAACCCTGTGGAACACCGTGTGTGATAATTTGTAAATAGATGTGGCTGTTCACCCAAACTCACGGTCAAGGTTTTCCATTTCCATTTTCCATTTTCACAGCATAGACTGCACAATACTTAAAATGTCATTGTTTTTGATTATTTTGTCACTGAAATCTGAATAAGTGAAAAATATCTCTTGTTCTTTGTTCCTCTCTTAGCAGCTTGCAAATTAGTTCCACAAAGTCTAAAAGCAACTTCACAAAAACAAGAGGGAGTCAGATTTAATCCTAGACCAGACACTGTGTTTTTGGGCATGAGTCAAGAATCAATTTGCTCATCAATACTGACAAATACACATATAATGGGATAAAACCCTAGATCTTTATAAGGCTGTGAGATCAGCACAGGATCACGAGCACAGAAGGTGGTCACACTGAGCCAGACAGCAGTTGCTACACAACGTGAGAGCTGCACGTTTTGAAAAACGCACATTAGCGCTCTGGCTAAAATCCCCTTTTTTATTTAACTTCTCTTGTCCTGCTCTTTTGCTTGTTGGACAACCGAACACTCGCTGTGTAAAAGTGCTGTGCTCACATCAATTTGCAGGATACGTAATTAATTGCTTAGCTGCAGACCATTAAACAGTATGTAAACATACCTGCAAGTGTCACTTAAATCCAGTTAGAATCTGTTGTGCTTTCATGATTATATATATTTGTGCACTGCAGTCTAAGACAGTCATCTGCACATTCAACAACCATTTCTTTTTATTTATTTATTTTTCTCTGTAAAAGCGGCTCATGCAAAGTGTAGAATTTATTGAAAACACAGCTAGAGTTTCACTTTTACAGTTATTTGTTTGTATTCAGGTGTGTAATTGAGCAAAATGTCATACCTCTCCAAAGCATAACTGAACAGCGCAGACAAAAGAAAAGAGTGTGAGCTAAGCAAAAAGAGACCTGTGCAAAAAGTGCAATTTAATGGAGCTAAGACACAAAAACTATCATAAAAAGCAGAAGCAATTCAAAGATTAGCTACAACACTGAGACCAGGCTGTTCTCCAGTTCGCTATCAAACGACTGCCGGTAATGTCAGCATTTTTTAATACCCACAGCACTTTTACTGGCCCTAAAGGATCCCCTGTGACTGTGGCTAAAACTGTCTCCCTGTAGAGGTCAAGTAGGGTCCCTACAGTTTGTGGCAACAGTTACGACGATAAACTTGTTTTACTCTTGTTTTGGGTAATATTTCCCACCTGTTAGGTTGCAATCTCGGCAATGGCTGGTATCCTGAAGCAGCTGAAACGACTGAGTAAGAAAGTGGCCGTAAATCCATCAGATATCAGTGAGTTTACGTCCAAATGCACACAATCAACCACCAACTACATTATTTAGCTTTCATGTTTATTTCTAAAGCAGGATTTTTAGTTTCGAACTTTTGTAAGATAATAGTTATAATCAGTTGAAATCAACCACTTTGAAACAATAACATCTAAATTTGCTTTAAAAATGGCTATAAACCACAAGAGCTTTCCACCACAAACACACATTCCCCCACAAATAAGACAAATAGGACTCTTGTGTATGAGTGTAAAGGGTGCTTTCTGTTATTGCTTTGTATTTGTAGGTGGGATCGAGGAAACTGATGGGCTGTGCGTGGGGGATCGGGAGGGAAATCGCTGGCTGCAGTACGACAGCAACAACCTACCTCTAACTCAGGAAAAGTGGGACTCAGAGTGTTTTGTGGAGAAGACACACTGGGGATACTACTCGTGGCCGAGGTGAAGACCGTGACTGAGAGATGAGGCGTTGGATGTAGAAACTGAAAGGCTGATTAACTGCTTGCTTGCAAGGAGCTAAGTAGCTGATTGACTTAACTGCGTGGTTGATTTGATGCTTGGCTTTGTGGCGTTGTGACCACGTTTATGCGTGTGTGGCTAAGTGCCGGATGACGCGGCTCTGAGTGGATGGATAACTAGCAGGGTGTTGAACTCGCCTTCTGTCACGGCCTGTCCCAGATAAGGCTGACGGAACGACTTACTGTCTGGCCTAGATAGAAGAATTGATGTATAAGTATAGCGCTGGGTGCCTGTCTTCTGTCTTGGTATTCAGACGCCTTGCTGACTACTGACTTTATAATCATTCATTTATCCTTGCTGCTTGTTTGAAGACAGTATGTGTCTATCCAGATTTTTCCTTTGTGTTGTTATCTATAAATCATCGCAGCCTCTTCTTTGTCTCCTGCTCCTTTCAGAGAAATGATGATCTATGCATCTTCGGAAAAGCCAAAAGATGACCTGCCATACGAGGAGATGAGTGAGGTGCGTGCTCATACAGGGCCACACACAGAATCATTCAGCGACGCCTCACTATACCTATTATTACATTTTGGCTGTGTTTGTGTGTCACACAGGGTGAAAAGATCATCTTTGAATACTTCTCGGACCCAGAATTTATTGATCAGCTGATCGAGTTTCTCTCTCTGGAGGATCGGAAAGGAAAGGACAGCTTCAACCCTCGACGTTTTCTCCTCTTCAAGGTGCAGTTGTCATCCTCAATCGATCTGACAGACCTTATACAAAGAAGTGACGCAGCATAATGACACTAGCCAAGGCTGAATCGAACTCCACAGTGCTGCATTTTCTATCATCAACTTTTGTGATTCATTTTTCTCCATCATGCAGCGGTTTACTTGTGTCAAACAAAACCCTGCTTTCCTTTTTTCTCCCTTTTTTCCTGGTAAAAATACACACACACACAAACTCACATGCTCGTGCTTGATTGGCAGGGGCTCTTTCGTAACTATGGTGACGCATTCCTGCCATTACTACGGCCTCACCTGGAGCAGCTTGCCAGTGACCCCCATGAGAGCTCCCAGCGCTGTGTGTGTGAGATTACTGCAGGGTTAATCAGAGGCAGTAAACACTGGAGCTTCGGCAAGGTACTGGACACGCACACACACACACACACACACACACAGTGAGAAACGTACACACTGCACCACCTTTTGATAAGAAGAGTCAATATTAATAAAAACTTCCATTATTGTGTATGTGTGTGCGTGTGCCTCAGGTGGAAAAGTTATGGCAGCTTTTGTGCCCTTTGATCAAGACGGCATTAACCAACATCACAGTGGAAACCTACACAGACTGGGGAACCTGCATCGCTACTGCTTGTGTGAGTTGCTCACATGCATACAAATCCACTATAGTGAAGATAACTCAGGGCTTGTTATAAAAAGTAGGACATTTTTTTGCTAACTGCTAAATAAGATGTTCAGAAGCTGATATTTTAAAAATCTACAGAGCATGTGAAAATTGTCAGATTTGCCTTGACGACACCTTTTAAAGCACAAACTCTTCCTTGCTATTCTATTATTGTTCCTTTATGGTAGTGCAGTGCTGGCTGACATTTATACTATTGTATGCATTGTATGTGCATTGTAAACTGCCATCCCCCCCCCCCCGAAAAAAAATTCAACTAAGAGAAACCCTTTTACTTCTCACATGGTGCCCATATTAAGTTTTTATTTGTCTTCTATTTTTCAAACCACATTCTTTATCATTTTCACCTTACGTTTAGTATCAATGCGAGTATGCTACCCTCACAAGTAAAACCAAGTTGAGATATTAGATATTAGGTCTGCTAAATCTATGTTTATTAAGCATTTATACTCACCAGGCAGAGGACTGTACTCAGATAGGCTGCGGTATTTAAGCGATGCTTAGCTGGTACTAAGGGGCCCAGAGTGTAGAAAGAAACGCAGTCTGCCCGTTCCCCTGTGACATCAACAAAGCATTTTTTCCCAGAAGCTGCTGCTCACTGGATATTTTTCTCTTTTTCAGACCATTCTCTGTAAACCGTAGAGATGGTTGAATCAGCTTTCTCCCCCATTCTGATCAAATTGATCTCTAGGTCACCTTGATCATGTCTACATGCCTAAATGCACTGGATTGGCTGATTAGGTATTTGTATAAATGACAGTCCATTTAGCTGCATTATTGACTGTGTTATTCATTACACATTCCTTTGAATAAAACAGAACAGCTTTGCTTACCATAACCTGTTCTTGCCTTTTTTTTTATTGGAGCATAAAACATGCTGTTTGGAACAATGAGGGCATGAGGCTATACCTGAGCTATCCAGTTATTTTTTATTATGATTATGCAAAAACAAAACAATAAAAAGCCAATGCAAATTATTTTTGTTCGTATTGAATGCTGTCCAACAGGAGGGAAGAGAACCCAGGAAACTCCACTGGCTGTTTGAGTTGCTGATGGAGAGCCCCCTCAGCGGAGAGGGCAGCTCATTCAGAGATGCCAGGTAATGTATGTGTGTGCATGATAACTGCATACAAAGTATTTGCAGTATTTAAGAGGTTTCTGATTTCAGGCTGCAGTAGTAACCTGAGCTGACGTATGCTGAGCAGACATGCCCGCAATAACACAACGACCCCCCCCCCATTCTTCCATCTGCCCCCTCTCTTTGTCTCTGTCAGTTTGCTGTATGTGCTTCAGGGAGGTCTGGCTCAGCAGCAGTGGAGAGTTTCTGAACTGCTGCACAGGCTGCTAGCCTACCTGGAGCCCAAGCTCACCCAGGTGTATAAAAATGTCAGGGAGCGCATTGGCAGGTGAAGAACTTATTCTGAATTACATAATCGTGTCTAAACGAGTTAATCTCATTAGCTTGTATGTACTGTTTGGGTTGTTCAAATTAGAGGCTCGTTATTTATCTCTAACTGTCTCATCTGCTCCCGTACTGGATTTGCCTCTCATCTCTCTCCTTTCTGCTCCCTTACCCTTTTTCTGCTCTTTTCTCTCCAGTGTCCTGACCTATATCTTCATGATAGACGTGGCTCTGCCCCACACCCGGCCCACTACCTCCCCCCATGTGGCAGAATTCGTCACACGGGTCCTAGAGCGACTCAAGCCCCTCACAACGGAGCCGGAGATCCACAACCACGTACACGAGGAGAACACCCAGGAGACAGATGAGCGCACCCAGGCTGTCAAACTACTCAAGACGGGTCAGAATGTGGATGAAAAGAAGTAAACTGTGTGTCTTTTAGGCAGGAAGGCCAGGGACAGACAGTGGCTGCATGTCTCTCTCTCTCTCTCTCTCTCTCTCTCTTGCTATATAAGCTTGTTCTCTTGGTGAAATAGACAGTCATACTAAAACTAGATGGACCAAATTAAAAGCTGTGATTCTTCATTGATTTCACCTTTCAAATTTATTTTAAACGGTAGTGAGGTGTAGATCGATAGGAAATTTCGCCCGTGTGTGTTCAAGCATGTCAAAAAGGAATTATGGAAAGGAGTCCCAACTCAATATTTGGATAGGTCTCTTTAGTATAATATGTAATTTGTCCAGGTCACATAAGGAAGTCATTTAAACTACATTTTATATTGATTTTGCTTTCGTCCTAGAGGCTAGTCTAATTTAACCAGTTGTATTCAGGCAAAATGAAATTTCAAGCATTCAGAAGCAAATTGTCTTTTCGATGAAGGAGTGTTCCTGCATAACATTTATAGTGGAAAGACGATGCAGCAAAGAGTCAGAAGTATGAATTTGCCATTTTTGGCAAGCTAGCTGTGTTGTGTTGGCACAACCTACATAAATATAAACTACAATTTGATTACAAAGATAGTAGCTTGCTGAAATGAAAAGAATAAAAATTCTAAATTTGAAGTGATGTAGGTGAGCAATTGAATTTATTAGTTAATTGTATGGCTGAGTAATGTATTATCCAGACAAAACAGATAAAGAGTTGCAATTGTTACCAGCATTGATTAAAAACATATATAAGGTGTTACTAATAAAAATGTAAATAGCTAGCTGAAATAGAAATACGTGAAACGATCTAAGGAAAGTATGAAAACCTTCAAAGTAGCAGTTTAATTGTTGTGAATTAATAATCAAAATAGTTAAAACCGCTAATAGAATTACTGATTAAAAAATGAAAGTGGTATTTCAACATAGGAGATAAAAATGAGCAGGCAGGTGGGCAGACGACATGAACACAGAGGTCAGAGGTCAATTATTTATATTATTGTGTATGAATTTTCTAATTTACTGAAAATCACATGTTAAGGGAGTAATACCTTCAAGTAGCAGATTAATCATTTAAAAAGAAAAAAAGTTAACAGTCATAGTCAGCTCAGCTGTCTAACTCTAAATAGTAATTCACATTCAGTTATAATGAGGTAAGATACATGCTTTTGAACATTAGCGGTTTTAAATTATTCTTGAGACCATTATATAGATTACATTAGATGAAAGAGGATAGGCACCACTGGCAAAGTTTTATAATGTTAAATACTTTAAACTAATAGCTATGCAGAATGTTTTTCCAGTGAAAGATAGACAGACACATATGTAAACCTCTACATATAAAAATTACCTAGCGATTGAGGATAGAGAGTTATTTGAACTTAAAGATTTTGTAATTATTTTTGCAGATTTTATTGTATTACAGTAGTCACGCCTGCTTCGGGTTTTTTTGTAGTTTGCCACAGACTGAATTTAGATCTCATTCTTTTGCCTCAGTATTTGTGCATTGCTGCTCTTTCGGTTTCTGTTATTGCTGTAATCTCCATTATACAGACAAATATCTGGCTGTGGAATTATACAAGTCATTAGATACTAAATAATGATAGATTGTGTTTTATTACCAGAGCCACGCAGCTCCAGTTCTGTGGGTTTTTTTTATCATTTGCCAGCAATTGAAATTCTCCTTGTGTGTTTATGTGTGTATATATGTGCTATTTGCAGTCTTAAAATGGCTGATGACGAGTGCAGGGCGAACCTTTACCACTCCTGTTCAACAGCAGCTACAGCTCCTGCCTCTACTCTTCAAGGTAAGAACAAACACACACGCACACACACACAGGTTCTAGCACAGCATTATTACCCACTCAATCTTACTTGCCCATTAAACTCAATTTCTCTCTTCATTTACTCAAAATGGTGCGTTGCTCCTTGTCTTTCTACCTCTCTCCCTCTCTCTCTCTCTGTTTTCTCTCTCCCCCTGCAGATTGCCCCGGTGGAGATTGATGAGAGCTATGATGAGATGAAGCAGGATGCACGCACGTGTCTCTCTCTCATGTCCCAGGGCCTGCTGTATCCTGAGCACATCCCTCTGGTTTTGGCTGCACTGGAAGAGGTAATATGTACACACAAATCCAGAAATACTCACAAAAGCACACACTCACAACTGCCTCACCTGCCTGCTGTCAATGTTCCAAGCCTAACCTCCCAAGGTATTGTGTTAGACTAAAAACAACCTATGCTATTTTAATTAGCTCGCAGAATTTCTGCGGTGAGTTTTTATGTGAGTGGTACTCCTGTTGTGAAATAGCGGTTCTAAAACTACCTTCATATCGAAGGGATGAGGAAGTATTGCAACATTTTTTTTGTTTCTGTGTTCTGGGAAGTCCTGGGTGTAAACAGTTATTTAAAGGAATAGTTTCATTTGGTGGGAAATCCTTACTTTATTGCTTTGTTTCATTTTTGATCGAACGCCAAAAGGTTTTCATGTGGATCTGGTGCTGTGCACAATGAAAAGCTGCAGATCAACAACTGTTGATGGTAATTTGTAGGCAGCAGAAATTTGATACAGACTTTCAGAATCGATTGTAACAGGTTTTGTAACCTAACCCTAATACTTTTCATGCAGAGCCATCATCAGGTCTGAGCTTTAATTTATTAAGGTTTATAAGCACATACACTACACTGAGAAAAGTACTGTTCTGCCCACAGTGCCATGAAAAAGGTTTATTTACCCTTAATAAATGAAATAATTTATTCTATATTATTGCCATTCACTCCTACATAGTTTACTGAAGCATGTCTTACCATCTTGGCTACTCCTCTGGAGTATTTATTTGTACATGCTGACAACTCTCAAATCTGATTTGTAAAAAAAAAAAAAGCTCAACACGGTAAGCTAGCCCTGAGATGAGGCTTAAAACCTTTTTTCTCAGCTGCTTCATGTTTGGCTGCACATCCATCACTGATAAAAGCAGCTGAAATGAGCTTCCTTAAAAGGGAGGCTAGCCTTAGCCTTAGTGATAGGATGATGGCCTTGGTCATTTAGAAGCCACAACTCCTCCACATTGAAAGGAGTCAGTGTTCTGGATATGCCTCACCGACAGGAGGCAGAACCAGGATGCCTTGAGGACATTATATCACTTTACTGGTTACTAGGAATTAATTGGTATCCCCCAGAAGAGCTGGATCAGGTGGCTGGGGGGGGGGAAGGTGTGGCTGTCTCAGGTAACCTGAACCCAGATGGATGGACGGATGGATGAAATTTTTTCCTCATTAAGTTATATTTTAGTTTATGGATACAGTTGGTCAAGAGTCGTGATAAGAATGCCTGTTTACATATTTATTATGATAACCATTGATTTGGATGATGACGAGTAGATATTTGTGAAATCTTGTAAACCCCAGCTGAGAAGCATCAGGAAACAACATAAATATGATATATATTAGCCCGTTTGTTTGTTTATTAGGTCTTTGCTGGTATGGCCAGCACCAGATTCCAAAATGTCTTTCTTCTGTTGCAATCTGTATTTTTATTTTGCATTAAAATGTGGACAGTGTAACCAAATGCACCAAAGTGGTATAGAATGTGGTATAGAATATGGTAGGTGTATATGGCATACCCTTATTTATACACATTCTGTGTATATTTATACTTAGTGAAATAGATGTGCGATTATGAATATGTTGGCATACTTATATTGTGCAGGCACAGCCTCACAGAGTCATCCACATGCTTCTTGAAAGATTTTAATAGCATGAAAAGAGAAAGTATTACATATGGATCTTGTGTACTCGAGTTTATATATCTTTTATGAGCAAGATATCACCTTCAGGGCCTTTGGGGCATCAGTACAAACTCCAACTTGTCTCTCATTATCTCATTTCTTTTTTTTCTCCCCTCTCCTTAGATGGCAGGCAGCAGGTCATGGCATGCACGCTTCTCAGTGCTGACCTACCTCCAGATCATGGTTTTCTACAATTTGTTTACTCTGCTCAGTGTGCCCGCTGAGGTTCTCCGCATTCGAAAACTGGTGATGCAGCTGCTGCTAGATGAGCAGCTTGAGGTAACGTATTCGCAAGCGCTGGTTTCACACAGCCCCTGGGATCTCTGTCAGGAGATAATAAAGGGCTGCTTTTCTACCTAAACCTTAATCCATCTTTTCCATTCACAGTTATTGCTTAAAAATAACAGTCTGTCTCAGTGCTCACTGTAGTTACAGGGATGTTGATTGAGTACTGTGGCTGCCTGAAATCTCTTTGTCTGTGGCAGCTTGGACGATCTAAAAATAACATTCAAGCTAAACCCAAAATAATTGTTTATTTGTCTTGACTTTAAATCCTCTAAATTACTTACTAATGTTTATTTATTGAATCGAATAAAAAAAAAAAGCTTTACAACTGGTGCTCGGAGAACAGAAGTCTCTTGAAATATTGAGTAATGTCAGCTTTTGAGCAATCAATGTCCCACTTGTCTTGCTTTTAAACCCTTTAAACTGTCTACGTTTATTGATCTGGATGTACAGCACAGGTGAAAATCAATAACTCCTGCACTCCAATTGAATTGTCTAAATTACCAACACGGGTCCTTCTCTTAATATTTTGTTAACTGTGTGAGTGTAGAGTTGATTAATGCTTTGTCCTCGTATCACTGTCTGTTACAGTGCCTCAACCATCACTCAGAGCTTATTCATAATTTATGCAAAGTGATGCAGGAAGGCAGTGATGTTCTGCAACTGAATTTTACATCAGCTCAGCTCAGCATCTATCCCTCCTCATCCTCCTCCCCTTCCTTTGCTCATATCTGTCCCGTGTACCTTGCTGTTCACCGATCTCCTTGGGCTCGCCTCCCTTAATAAATTGCGCATGCATTCCTTGCCTCTAAAAATGCCTCGTGTTCTCCACAGCACTCTTTATTTGTCAGTTCTGATCTTCAAGGACCTGTTTTTTCCTCCCTCTTTCTCTCCTTCCTGTCCCGCCTTTCTCCTTCTCATCGTAGGTGAGGGACATGGCATGCACCACCCTCAGTGGTTTACTGCAGTGCCAGTTCTTCCCTCTGGACTCCAGTTTGCAGACACAGCTCCAGACGCTGAGTCAGACTTGCCTCCCCAAGGCCCGGGGGGAGCTGGCCTCTACAGGTACACACACACACATTTCCGTGCACGTCACAATTGCACAGTGAGGCAATCACAATAATACTTGCCCTATTACCCTTTCTTATCCCAGGGGAAATGCGAACCTTGAGATTCGAAGAGCTATTTTAACTCTCCCTTTGTGTGTGTGTGTGTGTGTAGATTTAGTGCGGCGCCATGCTGGAGTGCTCGGCCTCAGTGCGTGCATCCTGTCGAGCCCCTATGATGTCCCAGACTGGATGCCTCAGATATTGATGGACCTGAGCAGCCATCTCAATGACCCACAGCCTATAGAGGTGCGCGCACGCATTAGCCCCACCACACACACTCATATATAAACATCTAGCTCAAAACAGTGTGAGCTGAAAGAATACAATTTCATTGTCCAATTGAGGAGAAAATTGTGTCTTTGGTCTTACTTCAGGCATGAAGAATACATACAATGTAATCCGTAGAGCAGAGTTTGAATAATACATTATAGTGGTGTGGAGCCAATGATGACGATGGTTTAGTGCCTCTCCCATAGGAAAGTGAAAAAGATGAGAAAGAAAATCCAATAAAATACAGTTAAAATATTGTATTTGTAAAAATGTTGACTAACATGTTTGTTACTGTAAATCATAGGCTGTATTTAAAAGGTGGAGATATCCATAATGATGATATCCGTATCCACGAGCTCCTGCTGTTCATATTTTCACGTGTCAAAGTAGGATCGTGGCCCCACGTTTGGGGTTATTTGGAGTCAGAGATGTCAGTGTTTGGCAAGTCGACGGAGTGCTAACTTATCAATCTATACTAGCAAACTTGGCTACCACCAGTGTCATCCTCAGAGTCATGCTGTCGATTAGCACGATTGCTGCAGAATCACTAAACTACTGTGAACCACATCCATATACATAGGTAATCACAGATACATGTAAAATACAAAGTCAGGAAGGTGTTCTTATCATCTCATCATCATCAGATTAATTACTGACTTTCCTTCTTTAGCCAAATAACTTTATCCTTCATTCTTAGCTAACTAGAAACAACCGTTTCTAACAGTGTGCAATGAATAAATTATTTTTCCAAATTAGTTTTTAATTATTGTAAACAGTTCTGATCGTTGCTGCAAATATTTTCAGCTGCTAATCTGCATTTTACATTATGTGTCTCTAGATAGAGGATTTACCAGCCAAAACAGGAACTTTTGAATTTGCAGTGCATGTACTTAAACTAAGTGTAGGCTTCATTGTAATAGATAGTGGCTGTAATCAAGGGTGGGTATGAGCGTTCACTGTTCAAAACAAATGAAGCAAGAAAAGCAGTTGCTATCAACATTCGTTTTATCGCAGGACTTTACTACAGACTTTAATGGAAATGTTCCACTACCGAGAAACAGCACATCACTTTGGGCTCATGTATATTAGTTTACATAAACGTTTGGCCCTGAATCATGCATTACATCTTGTTTATCTAGAAGCCAAATATCTTTACATTCACACTTGAGAAATAACAATCCTCTTTTCCCTGCTGTGGTTGCCAGATTAAAAATTATTCTGTTGCCTTTTTATTATACATACCAGTGTATGGAAAAAGACAAACGCGGACAAACTCTCAGGCCTCTGGTACAGAGCAGTTAACAGTTATATAGACTGCATAGAGCTATATACTGCATATTTTTTAATAAAAAATACTTGTTTGCATTGAAAAGGGGAAGTTTTTAACTACTCATAAAGTAACTGTTTGTTTATACACTTGGATGTATGCTCTGTTGCATGTGTTGTTTGAAGGCACCGTTTCTATATGATCCCAGGCATGTTTTTCTGCATTGTGTTCTATAAAAATCTAGGATGCTTTCACACTTGGTCCCTTTCAGCCCTCTTAACAACTCAGAGCTATTAGTCAGAATTTTTTGCTCATATGTGAACACTTCAACTGAACTCAGATGAAGGTATGAGAACACCAGGTATTTCTCTTTCTCCCACATGCACACAGCAGTGGAGGAAACATTGGCTCCCTTTAAGTCATTTTAGTCATAGCAAACCTGTAAAAGCACTCTGCTGAAAATGCTGTTACATTAAATATGATACAAACGCCTAACTAGTGGACTGCAGCTAATGATTATTATTCATGATGGATTGATCTGCGTCGTTTTTCTACTTTAGTCAGTTTTTTTGTTTTATAGAAATTCTGAAAATAATAAGTACCATCAGACTGCCCTCGTTGGTCTTTTTTTAATCTACTTTATGAAGACTGAGCTGTGTCCTTTTAAAAAGACTAATAAGTGATCGTGTCCCTAATTTCATGATGCCTTCATTGGTCAACAAAAAGCAGATACCAGTTTATCTGTGATTGGTCGATATCAGCCAGCTGATGTATCACCAGGGCTTTAGCAATGAGGCAGATAATTGTATTTTTTCATGAATGGGATGTTGAGCTTTGTCAACGTGTAGAGGACTAAAAGTGTACTGATGAATCATGCTCTAAAAACGATACTTAAGATGTATGTCTATTTTTATTCTTGGATGCTAAAAAAGTAGCTTTGCATGATTCATAGTTCAGATCATTACTTATTTACCAAATATTTACCATATATGTGGCCTTGTTGCCGCATCTCAGTTCATATTCTGTGTAAAACAAACTCTTTTAGGTCCCTTCCTCCCTCCTTTAAGCCATTTTTGTTCTGATTGGCTGCCCTTCACATGAAAACAGCAGTTTGAACAGGTCTCATGTGTTCACAGCCAAAGCGCCAGCCACTAGAGCTCTGTAGGATATCATACAGAGCTAAGATTGGGAAAAAAATATGGCATCATAGAGATTTCAGTCTTCATACAGGTTTAATATGAGCATCGACCATGTTTTCGATGAAAGAAAGCAGGAAAAAAACCCAATAAAAGTCCAGTAAAGCTGATAAACTCACTTGTGTTTTGTGGTGTTGTTTCTAAATGTGCACACTGCATTCACCTAGATTATGTTTATGCATGATGATTTTGATTTTCTTACCCAAAGATGACGGTGAAGAAGACCTTGTCAGAATTTCGGCGTACTCACCACGATAACTGGCAGGAGCATCGACAGTGCTTCACTGACGATCAGCTGCTCGTGCTCACAGACCTGCTGGTGTCACCCTGTTATTACGCCTAGACAGCAATTTCCTGCCTTCCCAGGTCTTCGTAACCCATGTAGGACCACTACCAGAGAAATTAATTACACAACGGCTGGGAACTCCAGTCTTGTGCAGCCTGTAAAATAATATCTGATAATGCTAGCAGGGCGCTCTCCCTCTGGAACCTCACTTGCCACCGTTGGCCTTCACTAAACCCAGCAAGTAAGCAATCCTGGGCAAAATGGTTTCAAATTTTTAACTAGCATGGTATTTTTAGTCAAAGGTGGCCACTTTAGAGGGAAAGGTTTGGTTTATATTGAGAAAGTCTTTTTATTGCTAATCATCATTGTTCCGGTATGTACTTTTAAAAGAGTTCTAACTTGTGCACGTTATTAAATACAAGGAAGACATTTCTTCATGATAATGTTCATGTGTGAAATTATAATAATAATATATATAAATGTATGCAATATATTCAGAAAATATTTGTGAAATTGTAATATAAAAATTATCGTTGTTGTATTTCTACAGCTATATTGTAATACAACACTTATAAAGCTATTTTAAAGCACTCATGATATATAATACCTCATATTGACATTAATTATATA